TCCCCCCGCCGCTCCCAGCTGATCTGGAAGCGGCGCAGGTCCGGCCCCTGGTCCCCCGCCGCTTTGCTCAGCGTCTCCCTGTTCTGCAGACCAGGGAGATGCTGAACAGAGCGGCGGAGCACCCGGCAGGACCCGCGCCGCTTCCAGCTGATCTGGAAGCGGGCGCGGGTCCGGCCCCGGGTGCTCCGCTGCTTTGCTCTGCCAGCAGACCAGGGAGACGGGGAGCAGCTTTTCTCGCCCCGGAGAAGGTGGGCGGCGGGACCAGGCATCCCACTGCTCTAGTTCTCCGGGGCGAGAAATCCCCGTTCGTAACTACGGATCCGACATAAGTCGGATCCGCGTAACTCGGGGACTACCTGTACTCGCTATTTAACATCCTTAGTAAAATGTAAGGTCTTCGCTGGAATTAACTGTGACTAAATGTCTTCCTGTGGCAGAATGTGACCATTTCAGCCTTTTGAACAGACCATAATACAAGCTTCTGAATTTACAAGTGAATTTAAATCTATGTAAGGTATCCTGCTAAGAAAAAGGATATAAAGCAAACTTTCTAAAGCAGAACAGAAGAGCAAATGAAGCTGTTTCCCAGGAAAAATACAGACACAACACAATGGGTTTATGAAAAATACAGCCAAATTTGAAGTCTACCTGCTTTTCACTTATGCTGTTTCTAATATTATTTATTAAGACAAAGGGCAAGGATAATAAATTATTAGCTTATTATTTATAAATATGGGAAACTAAGTAAAAAGGATTTACCTGCACTTGCTTTGTCTTAGGATTCAGAATCTGTCAAATCACTACCCTAATTAAACAAATTAGTTCCTAAGAACAATAAAAGGATAACGGTGAATACAGCAGATATAGACAAGAAATAGGGCAAAAGTTCTTCTTCAGTTTTTTATAATTTGCTAACAAAATCATTACTACCCACCTTACTTACAAGGACAACACAAGAATCCTGCCAAACTCTGAATAGAGAGATTGAAACACTGCTGCAAATTTCTTCAGTGCACTGGACATTTTTCCATTACAAAACCATTGCAGATGTTAGCTATTGAATTAAAACCATTAAGTAGTACAGGTGTGCTGTTTTCTAAAATACCACTATGTATTTATGAGAGGTCACAAGCACCCTTGATTTCAAATGTAAAATGATTTTAATACAATCAATGCAAGGTCATATACAACCCAAGAACGACAGGTTATACCTACAAGACAGGAGACGGTCTTAGAAAGACATGGTTCATAAACAATTAAATCCAAAGCAATCTTTTTTTTTTTTTTTTAAACTTCTCCTAGTCATAGAGTGAGATGCGTGTGCATACCCCACACTGAGCAGGAAGAGGGTTAATATTCTGTGAGTAGAGCAAACTAGGCATGTTCCAAGTGCTGGGCTAGAATAAAAGGGAGCAACTCAGCTCGGTCTGGACTAGAGAGAAAGGACCTGCAGCAGGATCTCCAGAGGTGGACCAGCCACATATCCAGATAGTGGGAGCTGGAGACTCACGAGACTGGAATGAGCCTCCAGAGCCTATAGAGCCAAGTGGAGGGACTTGTGCCGTGCAGCTGGAGGATTCTGAAGCCTCTTGGGTCGCCCTACCACCAGAGATGGTAGGCACTAATCCAGGGAAGGCGAGCGAGTAGTATCCCCCACCCGAGTGAGAGACTGGTGTTTTGGTGGGCTTCCCCACTGATCTAGTGGCGGTGCATCCCCTTCATCTCCTGGGCACTGGACATTAGGCCGTGCTGCCCTATATCCAAGGGGCAGTTCTATAGATTCTGGCCAGTAGACTGCACTTTCCTGTGGTGACCAACTGACGTGGGTTACTGACAGATATAAAGTAGTAATATGGGTGTCCACAGACCCCTGTGACTCCCCCCTCTCAGGACAGGGTATGCCTATACCACTATAGGCAGGAAGAACAGCATGTTTCCACAGCTCACTACATAGTCAGTTTGCCTTGCTATGAATCTGGAAGATTTATCAGGACCAAAAGCATTAGACACCGAAAGTTTCTGGCATAACTGGATTATTGATTCTAATTCATGTAAAATGAGAACCTCACCAAACATGTATCAGAGTTGCAGAAAAGATTAAACTATTAAACCAATGACTAACCTGAGGGCTGATCTTTTACCACACCATTCTTGCTTCTTTCTTCCCAATCCATTACTTCTTTGTATATTAATTCTTAAAAAGGTAGGTAGGGAAAAAATAATATTACCAATAAATCCCCTGTGCTTTCAGCCATTTCCTTGTACACTTTTAAAGGGTGCATTTGTACACTGTTTAAAAGGTACACATTCCCATGGAGCAAACAACTGTTACGATGAACAGACTTTGCAAATGTACTTTAAGATTTTAAAAGATTCTCAATCTTTACCAAAAAATAACAGATACACTCAATCACAATGTGATTGAGACTACTTGAGTAAGGGCTACCTCACTTTTTCACCACAAGGTGATATACACAACACCATAAAGAAGGCATATGGTAATTGTTATCAGAACACAAAACAGCTTTCATCTTTTTGGGCAAATTACCAATATAAAAGCTACTCAGCAAGGAAAATTGGCATCTTATTATAAATAACCAACTCTGCTAGCAGAACTCCGGTACTAGAACAGATCTGAGATTAGGTACTGTGATTTGGAAGGCAGAAGGTGTATCTGTTTTGAAGATCTCTTGATTAAGAAAAATATAGTAGGCATCCATTATAAATGAAAATTTACATTAGAAGGCTGGTTTCACAAAACAAAAAACTACAGCACTCACCTACCCATAAGGAGAGCTAACAAAATACCAAAAAATACAAATAAAACGTCCATTTAGAAATATGCTACTTTCTTCTCTTTCCAACTGTACTCTATACCAATCTATAAATAATTCCATAACATGACATTTATTGTTTGTTGGGTATTTAATCTTTCATATTGTTGCATGCTGTAATGTATTATCTGATTGGTTCTGATAAATCAGGCAGTGTTGCACTTATACTACATTAGTACTATGGTTGATAAATTACTACCATTACTGTAATGTGTTATATTTTGCTGTTACCTTTCCATTCTTCAATGGCGTGTTCTCTTTCTTCCAGTTGTGCATCATAGATTTGAGGAGGAGGCTACAAAGAAAATAAAATCTGAAATATAACTGCAGCACTCCATTAATATAATTAACCATGGTGTCCAAAAGAGGGGAAAAAAACCCCACACTAAACGAAATTATTATTTTTAGTTGCTAATTGTTATTTTTAGTTGCTAATCTTTGGCTGGGTCCCTTTCCAATATCTCCATCCTATCTTTGTATGCATTAGAATTGCATGCTTCCAATTTCAAAACTAAAAGCAAGCAAAGAAATGTACCAAAATTATTAGATTGGTCAACTGAAAACCGCATATTAAAGCATGAGGCCTGAAATTCTCAACAAAATTAAATGGTTTTATTATAAAGCGGGTAGGATAAAAAACCTGCTTAAGTTACTGTTAAACTGGCAACTATCAGCTATAAGAGATATTTTTCAAACCAACAATAATGCCACCACTTTGGCTGTTTTGGAAGTGGTACTTCAATTACTTCAAGCTATGATCCTCTCAGGACTACATATGAAATCTTTTCTAGCCTGAAAAGGGAGAATTCACCATCTACTCTGACCCGACACAAGTTATTATTTCAAACATAAAGATTAGAGTGATCACTTGAGAAGTATTTTTATGTACACTTACTGCTTCCGCTTCAGCTGGATCATACCAGACCGTGATATATGGATGACGTAAGGCTTCATCTACAGAAATTCGTTTGTCTGGGTCTACTACCAGCATTTTTGATAATAAGTCTCTAGCTTGACTTGCTAATAGAGGGGGGGAAAGTACAGACAGAATTTTAGATTCTAAAAATGCTAGAGTGAAACAAAAAACACATGGCAGAATATATCCTAGCAAAAATTGATATACTGAAACAAAAATTCCTATGAAGGTTAATAATTCAAGTAGTTTTATTAGTTACCTGAAGACTCTTGGCCTTCAACTGTGTCTCAAAATTTACCAAGATTAAGCAGGTCTCTTGTAACTTGTGTGAGAGTTTCACTGAACATTATACACCACATGAAATTAGTCTCTAGTACAACTAAACCCATCTTGCTGTATGCATAAAAGTGTTAACTCTATTGAGAGAAACTAGTATCCGCAAAAGCCAAGTGAGACTTTTTTCTTTTTATTATATTGTTACATATATTTAAAATGAAGGTTACAATGTTTGAAATTAAACATTAATGCTATCAAAGTCATGGTCCCACTCTTGTGAATACGTACAACTAATTTTGCTAGTGCACTCAGTCCCATTGAGGTACTAGACCATGATCTGGATGGCACTAATCTTTCGAATATAACAGTGCACTATTTTAAAAATAGGTATTAATATAGCAAAAAGAAAGCTTTAGCTCTTCTGACTTGACATCACTAATTCCTTTTGATAGAGAGTTATTGCTTATGTTACATTAGATACCTGTATCCTTATGGTCTACTACTACTCACACAAGTGAAATTAATAATACCGTATTTTCCAGCGTATAAGACGACTTTTGATGCTAAAAGGGGGTCGTCTTATACACCGGGGGTCGTCTTATACGCCCTGGCAAAGCCTCAGAGGCGCGGGCCCCCGCCGCTGCTGCGGCTTTGCTCCCGATGCCTCTGGTCTTCTGGGGACCGTCTCCAGCAGACCAGGGACACCGGGAGCAAAGCCGGGGAGGCGGAGGGGCACTGGGGTATAAGACGAAAACCTATCTTTTAACTAAAAAATTAGGGGGTCATCTTATACGCCCAGTAGCCTTATACGCCAGAAAATACAGTAGGTATTTGATATTATTATGCAATGTGGTATCATAGTTATAACAAAATTAAGCTGCCTGCTATTGAGGCTTTTAAATAGAATTACCATTGCACGTGGCCAAGAGGTAGATGCATCAGGCAAGCTTAATATACCAGTAATTTAGAACAAAATCTATTTAATCAATACACAGTTAAAATGAACAGGACAACTACACGTGCATATTGATATCAACTAAAGAGATCAGTTTTCATTATCAAATGCCTTTCACAAAAGTTTACTTAGCAAACATTCAAGCTTGTTCTGCAGAGCCTACATCCCGGTTCCCTGGGATCAGGGCCAGCATGTGCTGAGAGCTGGCTTCCGACTGCCCACTCCACTTCCAGGGAGATGGTTGCACTGTGGGCTCTACAGTATAAGCTTTATGCTGCAGAGCCACCAATGCAGAGTGACAGCCAGCTTCCCAGAAGCAGGGCTGGCAGCCAGAGTCAGTGCACACCAGGAGACAGCTTATTAGTGTACCAGCTCCCTGCTGCTGGCCTAACTCCCAGCATGCCGGCTGCCGCCCCACACTGCAGGCTTTGATACAGAGCCAGCATGGGTGGCACCCGGCTACCCAGAAGCTGGGCCAAGAATCAGCATGCAACGATTATGGAAACCAATAAGCTCATGCTTATCTCTTAACCATTTAAACAGTTACACTCTTACATCTCTAGCATCATGTTTGCATTTTCTGCCCATACTATATATACTTTAAGTGAACCAATTTAGAAAGATTCCCCCTGCCCTCCAAATACCTTACTTTTTAATTTGTCACGGTCAGATTCCGATGGAAATATCCAATCTGGGAAGAGCTCTTCAAATTTGATACCTGGATATTTCGGTCTGTTTTCTACATAATTCCTCACAGTAGGCTGTAGTTTCTTCATAAAATCTGCTGATGGTGTTCCTAACTGTTCAATAACTTTATTCCATTGATCAATATCTGGATGCTATCTTCAGGAAAAGTAGCTGAAAATTTTCAAAATCTGCACTGTATAAGGTATTGCTCATAGAAAATGTGCTTACCAAGTAACTGGTTAACCAGCAGCCTAGCCTGGTGCAGCCTTTGGCCCAGCCCAGCCACCCACCCACCCACGGCGTGGGAACCCAGTTAACTGGTTAAACTTAATGTTTAAGCCAGTTAACTTTTTAAACATTATTTTACATCTCTAGTCGGCAAGAGAAGCTCTCCTGCAGACAGAGTGCTGTTCACACCGGTGCTTAAGTCAGCGTAAGTTGTGTCACCATGAAGGTAGTTAATTCACATCTCTCAGCAACATATCTGACGTCAACTTAAGCAGTAGTGCAACCATAGCTTATTAAGAGTTCCAATGTAATATCAGGGGAGATAAATATGCTTTGGAAGATGGATCTTCCTAACATCTAAAAGATATTTGTACACCTTCTCTGCCAAAGCTGTCTTATTTATCTGGCTTTTACCAGATAACACTTTGGTTAGGAACGTGAATCTCAATATGTTGCTGTATAAACAGAATGCTTCAGGAGTAATTAGGAGAACAACATATAATTACTATATTTTGTTGGAATAAAGCTAGAAATGTCATGGATTTTTTTTACTTATTTGTATTTAAAAAAATGCAGATGAAGGCAGAACTAAAGCCTCTGGTCTTCTCTACATAGTCTGGGGTTCAGATAACATTCAGCAATGTGGCTCTATCAGACATCTTATTGCATGCTATGTAATAAAATTCATAGGAATGTCTGAAGACTACAAATAAATTTTTGTATTATTTCTATAATCACTGACTGTGATATAGCAAATTAACTAATACAAGATAGTTTCTCTCAAGGTTCTAACATCAGGATACCTTTTTACTGAACAAATCCCTAATCATCTTCTGAAATCAGAATTTGTGATTCTAATGCAATACTACATTTTGCTGAGCACCAACTCTGTCAACATTCACAAGTTAGACATTTAGTTATGTCACATGTAACATTTTCTATATACATATTTATGTAGCTAACGATTATAACTTAAACAAAACAGCATGCCTTTACACAAAAAAGATCTGTTTAGAAGTTGTTGTTAGAAGTACTTAAATTTCAGCATGTCTGCCAGAAATATTTTAATATCAATGATGCACACTGATGCATATTACAAATATACACCTCTAATGCAGAGATTATAATACATTGCTTATTCCATGCATTCAAATGGAAAACGGACATAAAAAAGCATGGTAAATAAAAAAGGCACAAAAGTTCACTCATGCTAAAACAATGTGCACACAAAGAAAGTTGAACATACACATACACACACAATATTGTTCCCACTCTGGTAGAGGCTCTACCAAACTACATTCAAAGGATCATTTCTCTTTAAAATTATCACCGGTTAGGGTTAATAAAACTTCACACTCAGTCTCTACTCTCATAATGCCTACTTCTCTTTCTTTCATCAATTATAGACCCAGGAAAAATTGACTAACAGTAACTAATAAAGAACTGAACAGGACCAATGAGTGTTTGAACTGGATTTCTCAAAAGAACCACACCAAAGTTGAAAGTAGAAACAAACACTGTTAACTCGAGAACTGAGGACATTACAAACTTGAGTTTAATAAGCATGCATAGTAGCATTTGAAACACTGACTAGATGGAAACTTGACTTGTAATGTAAGGTGTGCACAGGATGCTCTGTAAAAGCCTGCAAAATTTCATCCACAGAAGCAGATGGCAGCCTTTGGGGCAGAGGCTGTATTTATCTTACTGATAATAAGACTTCATTCCTAGAAGTCCTTCAACAGATTCTAATCCAGCAGTAGGCAATAAAATGGCAGCAGTTCACTAGGGTTTGCCCCTGGTGGGCTGCTGCTGCTATATTTACCTGCGCTGCCACAGGTACAGGTTGCTATTTCTGGCCAATGGGAGCTACAGGAACCATGATTTTCTGAGGCTCACACCTGGACCAAATGTAGGGGATTTTTCTCAGTCAAAAATATATCCCTAGAATTAGAGTAACCCCCTCCGCTAGAGTTCAAGTGACTGTAGCAAGTAGTAGAGGTGCTATGGCAGTGGTTTCCAACCTTTTTTATACCGCAGACAGGCCAACTCATTAAAAATCTTTTGACAGACTGATGCGCATATTCATTATGGAAAATAACGAATTTTCACATTTGCATATTCATTGTGGCAATTAATTTTAAGATGTCATGTTATTTTGCCAACCATCAGCCATGTGGTTCCTCCAGCCCTGACGGCCTCATCACCATGCTGTTCCTCTGCCCAGAGCAGCCATCTGCCTGCCAGCCTTGAGGTTTCTCTAGTCCCAGGCAGCCAGAGTAGCTACCTGCCTACTCACCAAGTGGTTCCTCTGGCCCCAGCCAGCTGATGCAGCCGCCACCCCTGATATCTGCCCACCAGCCAGGCGGTTCCTCCAGCCCCAGAAGTCCAAGCATGCCTCCCGCAGTGTTGCTGCACAGCTCTGCTTAGAAGGTGGGCGGGATAGAAATTTCCTTTGCACTCACAAGCACGAAGCTTAGAGGGAACTATGGTGCCTGGCACGTGGTCCCATGCTGACATTTACTGGCCTAGGTGGCTGAGTGCTCCAAGCCCCACTGGAAAGGGAAGCAGAAAAGCAGCTTGTTGCTGCAGCTACCTGAGCTCACCAGGATCACAGATAGGGCTGGTGCTCTTGCCCCTCCCCCAGCCCTCCCCCTTGCCTCATACCTCCCCACATAAGCTGCAGCTTCGGACCATAGAGGTGCCTCAGCTTAGGGGCAAGGAAAGACTAGCAGGCTGTGTCTACACTGGCATGAATTTCCGGAAATGCTTAAAACGGAATACTATTCTGTTTTCAGTTTTTCCGGAAAAGGAGCGTCTACATTGGCAGGCTGCTTTTCCAGAAAAGCCCTTTTTCCGGAAAAGCGTCCGTGGCCAATGTAGATGCGCTTTTCCGGAAAAGAGCCCCGATCGCCATTTTCGCGATCGGGGCTTTTTTCCGGAAAAGACTACTGGGCTGTCTACACTGGCCCTTTTCCGGAACAGTGTTCCGGAATAAGGACTTATGCCCGAGCGGGAGCAGAATAGTTTTTCCGGAATAGCGGCTGATTTTGTACAGTAGAGCATCATTGCTTTTCCGGAAATTCAAGGGCCAGTGTAGACAGCTCGCAGCTTATTCCGGAAAAGCGGCTGATTTTCCGGAATAAGTGCCCCAGTGTAGGCACAGCCGCAGACTTCCTATTCTGCACATGTGGCTGAATAGCACTGCTGCTCCAGATCTCCTGGAGCAGCCTGTGCTGCAGTCGGGTGGTGCCCTTCCCCTGGGCTGCAAGGCATGAGACATATACACACACCTCCCTCACTCCAGCAATTCTCTGCGTCCCATGCTGCTCATGCCTGCATGCACCTAGAGGCCCAGCACAGACCTCGAGGGCACCCGCCTGCTGTGCCACTCACAGCACACTTCTCCAGCGGGTAGGACCAAGACAGCGTGGTGTGGCGTGGCGTGGCGTGGCTTGGCCTGACAGAGTGCCGTGGCCTGGCAAGCAGTAGTTTGCAGCCCGCTGCTGGTCCACAGACGCCATGGTGCTTGGGAACTGCTGTACTAGGGATTCTCAATTAAACAAGTGTAAGAATCCTACTGAAGAAAAATACACTGTTTTTGCTCTTATCTCATTATCTGAAACCACTGAATTATTTTAGCTGTATCTTAAAAATACACCTGAGTAGGAATGTTAGATATAGGTTAATTGAATAATTGTGCCACCACATCAAATTTTAGCTGTTACGCTATTATTCAATAGTTCCCAAGGGTGAGGCTGACAGCTAGTGCACTCCCAAGCCCACTCCCGGGGAACCCTCTGCCACCCTGCACTGCTATCTTTGATACAGAAGCAGCAACAGAGGGGAGAGTACACGTAGTCAACAGGATTCACCAATAAGCCCAGGCTTATTGGTTGTGTATTGACTACACGTTGACATCCCTACAGCTGAGGCAGACACTTGAATGAAAAATTTCAGCCCAAATGGTTAAAGTTTGACAAAGTTACAAGCAGCTAGAAATGGAGCCTCAGAATGGAAAACATTAGGCAATATTAACATTGCCAGCAACATCTATATGGTTTGGCTAGGAAGTTATCAAGCACTGGCACTTCAGTTGCCCCTCTGCCCACTGTCATGCTGCTCCTGCCCTTTACCTTGGAGCTGCCCCCCTGGGAGACTCCTGCTTGCTGTGCAAGGTGTGGGGAGAGAAAAGGGGGAGGGCGTGCTGATGTCAGGGTGTCCCTCCTCCCCCCACTCCTGTACCCCCATCTCCACACAGTGAGAAGGGGATGGAGGGAGCTTAGCAGTGCAAATCTGTCACACACACTGTGTGGGTCACTGACATTCTCACAAACACCAACTATCCTTCATTCTCATCTCCGGACACAACACATATGTGGGGGGCTGTTATTACTTCTCGTACTACTTGCAAAGTGTGTTTTTTGGTTTGTGATTGGTCTGTGCATTTCGTAATTTTCATTTCTCTCTTACACTTAAATTTAATTCTTTGAGTAGTGAGTTCTAAAATGCTTAACCTGTTGTGGCTGGAGTAATTATCCCTGTGGTAACTGCTGCTCCTGGAATTGGCTAGCATATCCCTGCATCCTCTAAAGGTACATCTAGACTACATGCCTCTGTCGCCAGAGGTATGTAGATTAGGCTACCCGACATAGTAAAATGAAGCGGCGATTTAAATAATCGCCGCTTCATTTAAATTTACATGGCTGCCGCGCTGAGCCGACAAACAGCTGATCAGCTGTTTGTCG